GTGGATGATCCACAGAGACAAAGTCTGCACGCTCTGCTGCGAGCTGCTCAGCTCCGTCAGCTTCTTCTCCAGAGCCGACTCGGAAAACGACGACATGCCGGTCTAAGTGTGTGTTTCCCCCTTGACCCGAGCGACCCAGACCCGCTCTAAAGCGACAGAGCTCCGACCTAGTTTGGAGAAACTCGCATTGTCATCAAAACTAAAGTTGTGTCGCTAATCTGCAGACATGCACCCTCAAACTGCCCCTGCTTCACCTAACGATATATTTCTATACTTTTTTTAAGCTCTTTACCCGACTGTATTATCAACCACATCTGCTGAACAAATATAAAAGTTCAAATTTAGTTTTAGAGCTCCTGTGTCTTCACTGTTTGGAGTGTTTGTTTACAGCCAAAGCTAACATTAGCTAGCCTAGCTAAGCAGCCATCTGCAGCGCTGAGCCGAGTTAACCCGGGTTTAAAACACCAGCTTCTGTAATACTCGTGCAGAGTAAGTCTTCGGTCGTGAAATAAGATAAAACAAAAGCGCTAGTAACGGTGAGACTCACAGTTTGTCTTTGCTTGTCTAATTAGGAAGATTCCTTCGAAAAAACGGCCGCCTGCAATTTCAACCATGGACTGTAAACTCGACATGTGCGTCGCACAGTAGTGACGTAGGCAGAGCCCGGCGTCAGTTTTTTTCAAGGCATAGTAATATAAATTCATAACAACGATAACCTCCTCTTATACGCAAGACACATTGGATATGAGAGATAACTTCAATTAAATAACATAGATGTTTTGTATACATAATAAGAAGCAGGATCAAATAGTTTCAGTTATGGGGTTTATATGGTTCAGACCCATATTCAGAACTTTGAAATGTTCTTATTTTGTCAAGGGGCTCACAGGATAATCCGTGTATCTACCGTCCAATTGTTTTTCTTAATTAAACAAGAAAACGGAAGAGCGTCTGAGGGGCGTTTTTGCTTTTTACNCAGAGATGCTGTATGAGAAACCAATGTGATTTTGGAACATTGAACAATGTCCATTTCTACTGATCATAATTCCATTGTTGAGGTCTACTAGAATAGATTTACATTGTTCAATGTTCCAAAATCACATTGGTTTCTCATACAGCATCTCTGTATAGTATGTGTATTCACTCTGTCCTAAACGGCTTGTTGGAGCTCCTGACCCCCCCTCCCTATGAGCTTACTGTGATCTGATTGGTCAGCTCGCCCACTATGTTCTGATGAGTCCACCACAGTTACAGTGGAACATCAGTGATTATGTGTTACAATGGCGTTTGTTAGCAACCAGAAAATTACACCAGTAATGACAAACGGATGAGAATGCTGCGTGGGGTCTGGGTGCCGTGTTGGCGGGACGTTGCGGGGCTCGCTGCTCCGCCCTTTGAGGCTCGAGGAGTGGATAGTGTGAGCTGGATTACTGGTGTCGTTTCCTGGTTGCTGCGTGGGCAGAGTTTCCGTTTTTTTGCCGGTCAACATGTCCGTTAAAGTTTCAATCTTCCGGACAAAATGAGAAAAGTGCCGGTCAAAGGTCTTCTTTGTTATTTATTGAGCTTTAAAACAAATTCATAACGACTCTATATTAAACAAACTAATTATAGTAGATTAACTACATTATTCAAAAGTGTACAGTAACTTTGGATAACAACACGGGAATAATAAATAATAATAATAATCTTTCCCTCCCTCTATACTCTGGTAGAAACCAACTACAACAACATGAACATAGTTTACCATGATTTAATTGTAATACACAAAATGATGCCGAACTAACAACATAGGCCTACTGATAACGGTTAGTAAAAACCATGAATTAATGCTTTGTGTGCAGACAAGACGGCAGGCGAAAAACCTTTTAAAATGCGTGTTTTCTGAATGGAGATCGAATCAGGCTAAGCTAATGTTGTATCTGCTCCATCCACACTCACAACAACATGACACAGACACAGATACAACAGCGACTGTATTCGCCATGTTCCAGAGGTAGATAAACTAGCCAAGTGTGGTCTAACTTGAAGTGTGTGTTTTGCTCCGCTCACCGGTCCGTCACAGCGGGCGGAGTTGTGATCATGCAGAGCTGTGTGTCTCCGTCAGCAGCAGCTGATCTGCTTTCTGATCTCTCTCTCTCGCGTCCGGTTATACTTCACTCGCGTTTATGTCCATATAGATCAGATCCAGCTAATGATATGACTGCCTGCGTATCAAAGGACACCTATAAGCGTTGCTTGGCAACGGGGTGTGGAGGCAAAAGTATAGCGCAGCATTATGCAGCATCAAGCATTTTTTTCCATGAGGGTTCAAAATGTCCCCTTCAGGAGGATAAATCTCTTTCTCCACATTAAATGTCAGACATTAGAAAGGAAGTGCATGTAGCGTATTGACTCTTCTTGTCTGTCAAATAAGGGGCGCAACTGATGCGGTATTGCGCTAAGGGGAAATTACTTTTACCAGATATTTTGACCGGAGAGATTTAGATTTGCCTGTCTTCACATACAAATATGCATAAAAACCTACATAACTGACAAGGGGGACGGGTAATAACCGGTAAAGCATGTCATGGGACCTTTAATGTAGAGGTCTACAAAGAAAGATCATTAACATGAGTCCTGCAGGACAAACAAAACGAAAAAACACATACAGATACATAATGTGTAATAAATTCAGGCACGGTCGTTTATTTAATCCTTAATACAATACATGGGTTTAATGTACAGCTTCCTCACACTTAATTGGGTCATGTTTTAGCAAAAGCAGAATGAAAGCCCATTCACATACCTTTTAACAGCTATTAAACAGCTAGACATTAAGTATGACACTTGACATCTTGTTTTGTGCCTTGTTGGATGCAATTTTGGTGCCTTCACTATACATTTTAATACTGGAAATGATAACCTATGGTGGGTACAACGAATGATTCATTTCCATAACTAAATACATCTTCAACAAGTGAAACCGTGGCAGGTAATTACCTTGATTTACGGCACATACAGCAAGATAAAATTCATTAAAACTTAGGTGAAATTATCATTCTTATTCACTCTAATTAGCTTGTGGCATATTTCCCCATAAAACAGCAGAGGCATTCCGGCTTTTTATTTGCAGCACTACTTCATTTCAGGGGGAATATTTCCAGTAATAACCACAAAATCTCTGTGCGGCAATTAGATAATCCCCTGAGCAGAGGATTTGCTGTCACAGTACAGTTAAGTTTTTCTCTTGTGTATTCTGGCTCATGTCATCCTAGATTTAGCAATTTCTCTCTCGTTTTTAAGAAAATTCTTCCCATCTGAAACCTCTCAAGGTTGGCTCAGTCAAGTGCTGTGTATTTGTGCTCATAGTAGGGCAGACGCCTTGGCCGGATCAGACCACAACAGTACTTGGTTGCCTTGGTGATATGCTGTAATCAAATAGGGCCTAATCTCTCTTTATTACCTCCTATGACAGCATTTCCAACATACACAAAACTACCATTTTGACTGTTTGTTTAACTCATTTACTATTATTTACTACTCATTTACTCAAAATGTAAGCCTGCTTCACACGAGTGCAGCCTTGTGCCTGGTCTAAACATTTGTATAGGATAGACATTATGTGCCGCAGATATATGGAGTATCGTGGAAAGAAGCAAAGGATGTGTCTTTCTTGAAAGACTATACGTTTATGGCTTGAATTTTATGGCCAGACATTTCAGAGTCTTGAAGTAGAGGAATGAGATGGACAGTGAAAACAAGACAGAAATGAAAGCCTTATTTGGCATCAAAACTTGGTTGTAATGGAATGAGATTGCTCTCCTGTTTTTTCTTAATCAATTACTGCTATCTTTAAGAGGTAGTATAATGACTATGGGGAAAAGCGAAAATGGTGGAATGGAAAGCAAAGCAAGGATATCACCTACAGTGGGGCAAAAAAGTATTTAGTCAGCCACCAATTGTGCAAGTTCTGCCACTTAAAAAGATGAGAGGCCTGTAATTTTCATCCTAGGTATACTTCAACTATGAGAGACAAAATGAGAAAAAAAAAATCCAGAAAATAATAATAATAATCCAGAAAATCACATTGTCTGATTTTTAAATAATTTATTTGCTAATTATGGTGGAAAATAAGTATTTGGTCACCTACAAACAAACAAGATTTCTGGCTCTCACAGACCTGTAACTTCTTCTTTAAGAGCCTCCTCTGTCCTCCACTTGTTAACTGTATTAATGGAACCTGTTTGAACTCGTTATCAGTATAAAAGACACCTGTCCACAACCTCAAACAGTCACACTCCAAACTCCACTATGGCCAAGACCAAAGAGCTGTCAAAGGACACCAGAAACAAAATTGTAGACCTGCACCAGGCTGGGAAGACTGAATTTGCAATAGGTAAGCAGCTTGGTGTGAAGAAATCAACTGTGGGAGCAATTATTAAAAAATGGAAGACATACAAGACCACTGATAATCTCCCTCGATCTGGGGCTCCACGCAAGATCTCACCCCGTGGGGTCAAGATGATCACAAGAACGGTGAGCAAAAATCCCAGAACCACACGGGGGGACCTAGTCAATGANACACACACACACACACACACACACACACACACACACACACACACACACACACACGCAGACTATTACACCCCTTGTAAACCATGCAATATGTGCAATATATATATATATATATATATTCCGTGAATAACTGTGCAATATGGCTACTACATCTTCAGAACTGTTACAGGCTGTGTATTTTTATATTTTGTAAATTGTGTAATTCTTTTTTTAAACTTATTTAAAAACATTTCTTTTATCTTTAATATTTTTTTCTGTTTTGTATACATACTCCTTGTTAAACATTAAGCTGTCTTTGGCTCTTTTTCTGCTGGAACAAATGTAAATGTCCCCTCTGTGGGACGAATAAAGGTATTCTGATCTGATTCTGAAAAGTGATATAGGAGGTTTATATTTATATTTTATGAGAAGACCATTTAAAAAGATAACCTTGTTTTGCCTCCATGCTGCCTCGCAGGGTCCTGTTTACTCGCTGGTCAACTCCAGACTGTCAGGTGTTTGACATTCCCAATGTGTCCGCTGACGTGATGAAGCTGCTCATTGACTTTGCCTACACTGAATATATTCCAGTCACACAAGAAAATGTGCAGGAGCTTTTTATAGCAGCAGACCGGTACAATGTAATGGGCGTCGTACGAGCCTGCTGTGACCTCCTGGAGCAGCAGCTGGCCCCTCAGAACTGCATCGGCATCATGAAGTTCACAGACATCTATTACACCCCTGAAATGAAGAACAAGGCATTCCTTTTCACGCTAAATCACTTTGAGGAAGTTGTTGCCGCCTCAGAAGAGTTCATGCAGCTCTCTGCACAAGAACTTAGTCAAATCATTGGGGATGACAGACTCAATGTAAAGCAGGAGAAAATTGTGCTAAGGGCCATCCTTGGTTGGATCTCCTACTCAACTGGGGAACGCAGACAATACATCTCTCTTCTTTTGCCCAAAGTAAGTGGGGAATCACTAAATCATAAGTGAATTATGGATTAGAGAACATATACATCCAACTTCTCTCCTCATGTCTCTAGGTCAGGTTGGCTTTAATGAGTCCAGACAACTTCATAGAAAGCGTCAGCAACAACCCATTGGTGAACGAATGTCAAGATTGTGAACCAATTATCCTCAGGACCCTGAATGCCATGCTAGACCTCAGAACCATGAGCTACTTTGATTCTATTCGCTATAACCCTTTGGCCCGCCCACGACTGCCCTATGCCATCATGTTGGCTGTTGGAGGCTGGAAAGGCGGAGTGCCCACCAACGCCATCCAGGCGTACGATGTCCGTGCTGACCGCTGGGTCAATGTCACCAGCACCCAGGGGGGTCCCCGGGCCTACCATGGCACGGTGTTCCTCGATGGATCGGTATACTGTGTCGGTGGCTTTGACAGAGTGGTGCGGCTCAGCTCTGTGCACAGATTGGACCTGGTGACGCGCACCTGGCAGAAGGTGGCACAGATGCATGTGAGACGCTGCTTTGTCACTGTGACTGTGATGGACGGGTTCATATATGCTATGGGAGGTTACGATGGAGAGGATCGACACAATACTGTCGAACGCTATCAACCCAGAGCCAACCAGTGGACCGTAATTGCGCCCATGCACGAGGAGAGAAGTGACGCCAGCAGTGCAGCCCTCCATGGCAAGGTGGGCGGATCCAAAGAAAACAAATGATATTTATGTTTAACAAGCCTCACTAGATTATTATCCAAATGCATATTGTTATCAAGCCTAAAAACAAATGCCAAAAAATTATTTATTCAATACTTTATGATCCTCATATTATGCAGTGTTGCTTGTTTTCTCTCCTATAACAGGCTAATTTGCGTGAGAAAATAGCCTTTAGTCTATAAAAACACTTTGTAAGAGACTCTTGGTCCATTTTTTCGGAATTCCTGCCTTCAGATTCCTTATCACTTTCATTTCCTCCAGGTTTACGTATGCGGTGGCTTCAATGGAATTGACTGCCTGTCAACGGCTGAATGTTACGACCCAGAGAGCAACCAGTGGACCCTGATCGCCTCCATGGGCAGTTGGCGCAGCGGAGTGGGGGTCGTCACCTATGCAGACCAAGTATTTGCAGTAAGCACATTAAGCACTGACTATACTCAAATAAAACAGTCATTTTATGGCAGAAATGTTCTCAAATATAAAAACATATTGCCAAAAATATCAACTATAAGATAGGACAACAGAAACATAACAATAGACGCAGTCCTGACCTCACATTTCCCATTTTCTTTAAAGGTTGGTGGCTTTAATGGAACTAGCCGTCTGCGCTCTGCTGAGGCCTACAGCCCAGAAACGGACACCTGGCATGCTGTTCCCTCCATGCTGAGCTGCCGCAGCAACTTCGGCATTGCGTTGATCGATGACCGTGTCTTTGTGGTCGGGGGCTTCAACGGCTCCTCCACCGTCCGCGCCGTCGAGTGCTTCGATGTTGAAACGGGTGAGTGGTCTGATGCTCGAGACCTGGAGACCTCCGGCAGCGCCCTGAGCTGCTGCGTGGTGCACGGACTGCCCAACCTGGCCGAGTACGCTTCACCTCATCACTCTGTGACACTCTCCCAGGTGGAGGAGCGCGAGGTGGAATGATGACTTCCATCTGACTATGAGCTGTGTTGTTGTGAAATAAATGTGTGCATCAAACTACAGCAGTGCTACTTTTACTCTAGTATTAACACATTTTCAGTCGTGTGAAAAAATTGTCAGCTAAAGGCAAAAGCTTATAAGAACTTTGATCTCCAAGATGTACAGGGAAAAAAACAAAAACATTTCACCTTGAAGTAAATCTGAATACAACAAAAAAACAGTCCAAATGAGACTTGGTAGTGATTTAGCATGAACCTTCATAAGTATTTCATATGTGTTACACAAACACTAGGTGATGTCAGATCCATAGAAATATACTGTATATTTTCTATATAGCAATATGGTTAAAGGCATCAATTTTGAAAATGAAAATAAGTTTGATAAAAAACTTTGGTCATCATGATAATAGACATATTACCGTAAAATGATAATGTCAGTAAAATCAGCTCCATGAACAAGGCATTATGTGACATGGCATTTATTTTCACACTGAAATTACACAAACACACCCCAAGCCTGAAAACATTGTATATTGAAAAAACATTTGTTAACTTATTGGAAATTGTTTTTACCAATAACAAAATGTTTTCTAAAACAGGGGAGGGAAGTGTTTCTCACTTCAACAAACAATTGCTTTACTTACAGCGTTGGCAGCAGCAGCTTAATTATCACACTTAAATGTGACCAAATACAAATAAATACGTTACGTTACTAATTATTTAAGTGAAGTTAATTTCTTAATGTCAATATATTATAGTTTTAAGGCTTACTAAAGAAGCACTGTACATAATGATTAGTGGATGTGGATCATTGTATCTCATCATGAAATGACTGATTTTGGAAAGTATAACAACAAATCCTAGGACAATATGTGGATATATAAGGGGCTTAAAAAAGGCATTACACTGTATTGGCTTCTGTACTGGCTGATTCTTTCACAACAACATTGATGGAGCTCATGATATTCTTCAGTTTGTCGCTATCAAAGTTAACCAGCAGCACACAGGGGCCCGCGCTGGTGGGACTGAACTCAAAGCTGGCCTTGGCCTCCTGTTTGGGGCCCACAGCTTCAATCCTGCCGGAATCACAGACAATAAACATGAGCATCGCCAGACAAAAAATGTTATCCAACATAATATATCCCACAGATCATCATCTTATATTGTACAGTACCAAAAGATTTTTGCACTGAAACAACAATCATTGAGGGACAGTTTTTAGGGAGAAGGACACTGTGGTTTTGGGGTGTTTTTGTACAAGCTTTGCACAAACACCATCTTGCACTTTAACATTTAAATAAACCTTAATATGAATTACAAGTAAAGCCAAGAGGTGAAAAAACAGAAAAGCTCAAATCAATATTTGAAGCATTAAACTGCTGAAAACAGTTATGATGTAGTTGGCATACCTGGCAGTTAGGGGTTTGCCCTCAGTGAGGCCGACCCCCTCCACGGTGAAGCTGCAGTCCTGCAGGGGCTCTGGGAGAGGGTTCAGGAGGGTCAGTGAGGCCGTCACACTCTGCCTCACTGTGGCCTCTCCCAACAGCTGCAGAGAGGGGTTCAGATACAGGTTTCATAATGTGAGAGGTGGTATAGGGTTGTACATAATTAAAATCATGTAGTTAAGTACCTGGGGGCAATAAATAATGACAGGTATTTCTAGTTGAATATAAACTATTCTGCGATCTGCAATCAAAGCTACCAGAATCACATTTCAAGGTTCAATTCCCCCCTGAAATTTAAAAAAAGCGTAAGTTTAGGATTTCACTTATTTTCTGATGTTCTGTTATACATTGTAATGCTTTATGGGAAAGGATTCAAAGCTGAATCAGAATGATTTAACACTAACTATAAAAGATGTGTGGCTTTCTAAACTGTACTATCTTATGTAAACAATGTATACAAGGGTTCAAGGATAATATGTTTTCATTCACACACGACTGCACAACAAAATGCATTTGTAGCCTAACCCTTTGAGCTACAGAACATTTCTTTACAGGATAAAAACAAATTGCATTTTTTTAAAAATTATTATTAAATATCTGCTGTACTTTAAGTTCATGTATGCTGAAATCTTGCAACTCAAACTACTCAAAATTATTTATTTATATTTAGTTTTTATAAAATTTGAATCTGGAATACAGGTCTTTCACCTGTGCATTGCCCGTACCTTGATGTGTATTTCTGGCTCGTCCAGCACGATGGTCTTCTCAGCCTTATGGTAATTTGTGATCTGCTTGTCGATGGTGATGGCTGACACCTGGATCAACCTGTCGGAGGTGATCGCTGATCCATAACGCTCATACTCCAGTCTGAGGGACATGTGCCTTTCTGTAAAAATCACAACATACCTTAGGTTATTACAACTATTTTTGATGCAATTACACCAGGGTTTGTGACTTGTTGTGTTCCCTGACCTTCTCCAGAGGGCACCTCCACTTTGTCTGAAGTGAATCCGCAGCTGTCTCCCAGTTTTCCGTTGTAGCCGACAGCCTTGGCGAAGAACAGGAAGGTGCAGATCCTCGCGTCCACGCAGTTGTTGGTGAGAACAGCGTGCACTTCAAAGTCCGAGCCCACTATCATGTTATCAGCCAGTTTGATCTTAAATGAGAGTTATAGGATTTTTTAAATGTCATTCATTGTATAATAAGGACATAAGAATAATATAAATCTCAATATCTTATATTTTTAATGAACCGGAATTAGTTGTGAATGATGTTGAAAATGATGGTTATTTGATCCTTGGAAAAGAATATGCTAATAAAACTGTTTATTCATTTCAAAGCTGATGCAGCAAAGACACAATTCATTTGGTATAAATACCACCCACCACTGATGTATATCTTTCTATAAGGGATACTAAATTAAATATATTTCAACTTTTGAACCTGGCGATACTTTATTTTCTGCTGCTTTAAAAACGTTCATATACATAAATTGTGACATCTCTTGATGTACAATTTATGCACATGTTTATAGTTATTTTCTAAGATGTATGTATGTATGTATAGATGGGAGGCTGTGGCTCAGTGGTCTAGTGTGTTGATCTTTGTGAAGCACCTTCAGATGACGTTGTTTTTAAAGTGTGCTCTATAAATGAAATGTATTATTATTTATCTTCGACCATCCCCACTACAGTCAGCATGTTGTTGTGTCCCTGGGCAAGACACTTCACCCCAAATAAAAATAATTTGGGGACTGCCCTCAGTATTGAATGTATGTAAGTCACTTTTGGTAAAAGCGTCTAACAAGTGAGATGTAATGTACTATAATGTACAAGCGGTTGAAAGATGACACCTTGAGATGGAGCCCCGGCTCCTCTCCTCGCTGCAGTAGCTTGTTGTGATGCTGAGCCTTCTCATACACCTGCCTCTCCTGCTTTGAGCCTGAAAACCATCAGAGGTAATGAAACAGTGTTTTAGCTCCTGGGTCAACAACAGGCTTTTCCCCTCAAATGCGACAAGATTGCATTCTCAAATTGAGGTAGTTGGGGTATTCTACATTTAAACAGTTTGATATTTATTTAAAAAATACATTGTGATTCTGTGTTTAGAGTCTCGAGTGTGTCTGTGTACATGTGACACAGCAGTACCTTCTGGATATTTGTACTGGTGTGTGATGTCGTGCCTATCATCCGAGCCCACAGCTTTGGTGCTGATGTACTGTCCAACAGATTTAGTTGATCCACTGAACTGTACGAACTTTCCACTTGACAGGCGCACCAGGTCCACAACATCTGCATTAACCTGACCCAACACACGGCGTGAGATGACCATCAGTGAACATAAAGACATTTGTCAACAGTCATTAATTAAAACTATTACAGCCAATAGCGAAAACTTACCTCAGCAAAAATAAAGGGAGCGTCATATTTCTTTGTCAGCTCTCCTTCCCTGATGGCCTTCAAAGAGGACGGTCCGCAACAGAAAACACCTGATGGCATCACACATCCAGAGACAGAGTCAGACACAATGCAAGGATTCAGGCCGCGCAAGTCATTCAAGTCAAGTTGTGACTTCTTGTAATGTTTAGTTAATCTTCAAAATGTCGACTGTATTCTCAAAAAAGATAAATATAAATAATGTTCCTTTTTATCAACATTTATACTTTATTCTCGACATTTAAACTTGATTCTATAGAAAAACTCAATCAAAAGTATAAACAACGTATTACATTTTTTACTGTTTTAAGAAGTCTCACGATTAGTCATATGAAGGTTTAGCCGCAACAACACAACTAACCTATGACTGGTGGCTGAAACTGAAACCTCCATGGTTAGAAATGTGACTAGGCATGCCATTGACTATGACCTATCTTTGTAGCACTTCCAATACAGTTATGGTTAGAGGTATTCCTCATGATATATGTTTTTGTTCATTATTTGGTCTGCCAAGGCAGTCCTTAGTCTTATATATGGGACTTATTGGGAAACAAGTCAAACAATTTGACATCAAAATAAGAGTTTACCATCACTTGTCTCCTGTGGGGTAGGGTCACTGGTTTGCCAGCCATCAAAGTCTGTTCCCAAATCAGGACGAGTCATCCAGCTGTCCACCCACACATGGAAGTTCCTGGTAAGATAAAGGATTCTGTTACTTGAATGTGGAAAAATCACAAGTACATGTGATCATGGAACATTTTGGAAGATTGAAAAAGTAAAAAAGACGTGTTCAGAAATGACAGTTGTGGTTATGCATGTATTTAAGGTAATAATCCCTTACCATATCGAATCACCATTTGACATTCTTTCACCATCTTCATCATACAGGTTTTCTATCATCAGGTTGGCGTCAGAGTCGTGAGCCGATCCAAAGTTAGTAACCACTCGGCATGGGATGCCCAAGGCCCGGGACACTGGAGGAGGGAGAAGAGTCACACTTCATCAGAGAAGCTGACTAAAGCACATTCTAGACATAGCCAATGTCATCAAAGACTCACAATTAAAACATCACATAAACATGTCTCAGGAGGTAGAGAGCTTCAAAGCCAAGAGACTAGATTCTA